CAAATTCTTTCCTTCAAATCGTATCAATGAATTGGTTGGATTGGGAGATACTTTGATGAGTGGCGCTGCTACAGCTTGTATACCTAATCCATCGGTGCCGCAAATACCTGTCAGCCATTGTTTGGTTAGCGTAATGGAACAGATACCGGAAGAAATAACAACAGTAGCACGAACTACAGGGTTGGAACAATCAACCGGGAAAACAGGATTTTGGTCAGTGGAGTTGGATGTGCTTCCATCTCCATAGGTAAATGTCCAGAAATAACTAAAAGAAGTAGCCCCACCCAATCCTACAGGGGTTCCGCTGTAAAACAACAAATCGGGGCTGCCCAGGGCATTAACAAAACTGATGATCTGGCCGGTTGGAATATCGCAGGTTCCCGGGGGTACTATGGTAATCGTATCTCTGCATTGATGACAACCAGTTCCATCAAAATAATTGAGCGTTAATATTACTGTACCGGTGCTGATGGCGTTGATGAGTACAGAACTGTTTAGATTGGTACCGGAAATAGCGGCGTCACCATTGCTAAGGCTCCAGTTATAACATTGGCTGCATTGGCCCGGGTTGCCGGAAGCAGAATAAGTACCCGAGGTACCCACTAAAAGTACGCCCGGCCCGCTGATGCATTGGCAATAACTCAATGCCGGGAAAAGGAGTAATAACAGAAGCGTGTAAAAGTTTTTCATTGTTTGTATGTTTTAAATGAACAAACAAAATAGACTATGATTTTTTTGCATACAATAGGCGGTAACGCTGTATTTGATAAGCGGGGGAATAGTAAAAGGGGGCGCTTCTTTATGTACCAGCCTTTTTGGTATATCCTCAACATTTAGTTTATTTGTGTACCAATATCCTGCTCCCCCCTGGAAGCCTGATAAAAAAAACTATGTTTTTCTATAACCCTAATTTCTATTACATAACTATTGCGTTACAGGCAATATGCGCTATTCACTGTATCCGGAAAGGGACGCAGAATAAGTGGATATGGATCATTGTGTTTTTACCATTGGTGGGGTGTATTGCGTATATTTTTACAGAGATGTTTAGCAGCAGGGATATGAAGCAGGTACAGAGCGGTATGGGCAGCCTGTTGAACCCAACCGGCAGAACCCGGCAGCTGGAGGCCAACCTTCGCTTCTCCGATACTTTTAATAACCGGGTAGCGCTGGCGGATGCGTATCTTGATTCAGGGCATACTGATAAAGCCATTCAACTCTATGAGTCGAGCCTTACCGGCCTGTTTACCGAGCATGAGCATGTGCTTACCCGCCTTATTCTTGCTTATTATACAGTACACCGGTATGATGACATTGTGCGTATTGCCCCTAAAGTAGCTAAACTGCCGCAGTTTAACCTTTCGCGTACGCATACCTTGTATGCGATAGCGCTTAGCTATACGGGCAATCCACAACAGGCAGAAAAAGAGTTCCTGTCGTTGAACGGGCGTTTTTCTCAATTCGAGGCCCGTTACCAGTATGGTTTATTTTTGCAGAGAGAGGGCCGGCGTGAGGATGCCCGCCAGGTATTTAACCGCATGGTTGAGGAGGCTTCGCACCTGAGCGGAAGGGAAAGAAGGGATAACCGGGCCTGGTTTGCTGCTGCTAAAGAGGAATTAAAAAAATAAGCTGCGTTTAATAGTAAAACCGACTGGTTGTATGATGCATTATCCATTGATAACATTATTGCTGATCACTGTTACTGTAATCGTTTCCTACAGGGGCTTTAAGCATAAGGATTTCTTTGAGCGCTACGTGTTTGAAGTAGATAAAATACTCATCAATAAGGATAGTAAACGATTGATCAGTTCCGGCTTTTTGCACATGAACTGGCAGCACCTGGTGATGAATATGATTAGCCTCTATGTTTTTGGAATTGAGCTGGAAGCTTACCTGGGCCCTTTATTCTACCTGCTTATCTATTTTTCGAGTCTTATTGGTGGTGGCCTGCTCTCTTTATGGCTACATAAACAGGAAGGAGATTATCGTGCCATAGGCGCTTCAGGCGCTGTGTGTGGTGTTATGTTTGCAAGTATTGCTTTGTTCAGGAATATGAATATCGGCTTTTTGTTTTCCCTGCCGGGATGGTTATATGGATTGTTATACGTGTTGTATTCTATTTACGCTGTACAATCCCGCAAGGATAATATAGGGCACGATGCACACCTGGGTGGTGCATTGATAGGCATGTTGGTAGCGATATTGATACGCCCTGCGGCGCTTGCAGAAAACTATGGCCCCATTCTTATTATTACCATCCCCTGCCTGGTATTTTTTTATGTACTGATCAGGCGGCCATCTATGATGCTGTTGGGTGTTGATTATTTTAAAAAGCAGGATATAGAGCACAATAAACAATATACAATAGAGGACAAGTATAATACTGAACGGTTAAGCAGGCAGCAGCAAATAGACGATATATTGGAAAAGATACATAAGAAGGGTATTAAGAGCCTTAGCAGAAGGGAGAAAGAGATGCTGGATGAATATTCCAGGAGCACACGGTAACCGTTACTGTTGATTTGTTGTGAGTATATTTTTTATTTCTTGTGCCTGGCGGTATTTCTGCAAATGATAATATTCTGTTTACCTGCTTTTTAATACTTTGTACATGGATTTTAAAGAGGACACATCTCGATAAATGCCCTGTATTTTTATACAAGGCTTCTTTCTACAAATCTTTACCCACAATACCGGTAGTTTATCGTATTTTGTAAGGGTGTTGTAATAGACACACCCCGTTTTAGGGCCCTGCATTTTGCGATGCAGGGCTTTTTTACCGGCTATTGTACAACCACCTGGCTTTCGTCTGTAAGCACCATTTCGGGCTTGCCTTTAAACATTTCTATCTTACCTGTAACGCAAATGCTTTTACCATCATAGTAAGTATCAGGTGCATTCTTAAAATGGCTCCTGTTATCGTCCCATATTACCAGGGTAAGCGGGCTATTGGGATATTTGGCGCCTGCATTTAAAAAAGTAGGCTTGCCCTTAGCTGTTTCGAGGTATTTGCTGCCGTATATTTTAGTGCAGATCTTTACGGTTTCTCCTTCGTGCTTTGAAGCATCTTCTACCGGTATGGTTACTACTTCCTGGTTGGCATTACTGGCAGGAGTGGGAGCAGTGGTTGTACTTGTATTTGTAAAGTGTGGTGCTGATTTAAACTCTGCAGCAAGTATGCTGGCTAAACGTAAGCCACCAAAGAGTAACTGCTGTTCAATGATCTTTTTATTGGCATTGATATATTCCTGTGTAAGGCGATCATCTTTAAAATCATATACCGTATCAAGCAGGGAGCGTGATTGTTCCATCCACTTCAACACATTGATCTTCTTAATGGCTGCAATTTCTGCTGGCGTATAGCTATCGTATAATTTGAGGCAATCATCCATTGAGATCTTTTCATCTTCTATGATCTCTGAATCCCATACACTATGCAGGTTGCGGGAAAAGCCAGGGCCTCTTACATCAATACTGTTACCGCCTTTATCTTCCGGGTAGCCGGTATGCAGGGGCTGGCTAAGATCGCCTGTTAAGTGAAAGATGAGTAATAAGTCTGTTTTAATATCCGCATCTTTCATGTTTTCCATGTGCGATAGCTCTGCAATAGCAGAATGCAATACGGTAACGATATTCTTTTCAGCAGAAGGCTGGTAGGCCTGCCCTTTCGTGATGTCTATATAATGCCAGGTCTTCATGTAGTCATAGTAATGATTAGAGCGCATATCATCCATCCAGGTAGCCGCATCTTCAATGCTCATTCTACCAAGATAATGTTGTACGGCCTGTTTGGTGTTCTCATCCAGGAAATGGAAGGCAATCTCTGCTACCATCTGGTGTCCTTTTTTACCCCAGGCAAAAGAGGATATGGGCAACGTGAAGAAGAGCGCTGCAATAACAACCGAAAGAATCGCTTTTTTCATTGTAAGGAATTTGCGCAAAAGTAATTGTAGCATAATACTTCATCGTTAATTCTTTCTGAGCGGTAACGCTTCATCCCTAATTTTAACAAAGTAGCAGCAGGCTCCTTTTGTCAAAATACAGGGAACCCTATCTTCCTATTGTACACACTATGAATATTTTATAACCTATTGTTTAATATATACTTTATTGCTATTTAATACCCGATTACGAAAGTTTAATAATGCCTCCAGCGGGAAACATTTTACCTTGCATGGGTAATGGAAAGCAAACTAGCACAACTCCGCCCCACGGAGCGATTTTCCCAGCGGGTGGACAATTACAGTAAGTATCGCCCTTCTTATCCTATAGCTATTATCGATTTCCTGGAAGAAGCTATCGGGTTACAACCAGCATGGGCCATTGCAGATATAGGCTCCGGTACAGGCATCTTTTCTACCGTGTTATTACAACAGGGTTATACCGTAACCGGTGTGGAACCCAACCAGGCCATGCGGGAAGAAGCAGAAAAACATTTAGACAGGTATACAAAGTTTACCAGCATCAATGGCAAGGCGGAAGCGACTACCCTGCCCGATCATAGTATCCAGCTAATCACTGTGGCACAGGCATTCCATTGGATGGACCCGGTGTTAACAAAGCAAGAGTTTAATCGCATATTAGAACCGGGGGGCCATATGGTGCTGTTATGGAATATACGTTTAACACATACCCGTTTCCTGGAAGCCTTTGAGGCTATCAAAATACAATTCGGTACAGATTATAAAGCTACCCGGATGGTGAATGAGCAGGAGGTGGCCGCCTTCTTTGCACCACTGGCTGTTACACAAAAAAGCTTTTATCATTCGCAGGTATTGGATTATGAAGGGTTGAAGGGGCAGTTACTCTCTACCTCTTATATGCCATTGGAAGGAGAACGGTATAACCAAATGATCCTGGCTTTAGAGGAGTTATTTGATCAACACCATGAGAATGGCTTTGTAAAGATCGAGTTTGAAACAAAGGTGTACCTCAATAAATAACCTGGTTACAAAGAATAAAAAAGGGCAAAATGGATAACTCCATTTTGCCCTTTTTTGTTGCCTGACCTGGATTCGAACCAAGACATTCAGATCCAGAAACTGAAGTACTACCCTTATACTATCAGGCAAAACGGGCTGCGAATATACCGCAGCTTTTTGACTTTTCCTGTTTGAATTTACTAAGGCATTCCTATATGTAGAATATTTTCCCCCGCTACCAACTATCCTCTCTATCGCAACCATTATATGTTTTTTATCGTACATACCTAATAAAATAAAGAACAAGTGTGCTTAAGAATATACAGAAAACTGAATAGTATTTTTTTTATCGGCAATGCTTTTGCGTACATTTAGTGTAATCTATCCTTTTAAAGCCTGTCCGCCTTGAAAAACAGAACCCGTATCCTGCAAACGACGTTAATAGTTGTATTCCTGCTAATGGCAGGGTACATACAAGCGCAAACAAAAGCCGGCTTCACTACCAATATCCAAAATGGTTGTGCTCCCCTGATTGTGCAGTTCCGTGATACTTCTTCAGGCAATCCCGTCTCGTGGCAATGGGACCTGGGCAATGGCTCTTCCTCCGCTCTTCAAAACCCCGGTGTGATCTATAATTCACCTGGTATCTATACCGTAAAGCTGGTAATACAGGGCGCCAATGGCCAGGACTCTGTTACCAAAACCAATTATATACAGGTATATGATAAGCCCATACCCGTTTTTACCCCATCGCTTACCCAGGGTTGCGCCCCCTTACCGGTGCCCTTTACCAGTGCCAGTACGCCTGGTTCCGGTACACTGGTAACCTATGTATGGGACTTTGGGGATGGCGCTATCTCCAACGATGTAAGCCCTACACATAGCTATACCCTGCCCGGTAGCTATAGCATTACCCTGAACCTGGTAAACAGCTATGGCTGTTCTGCCTCCTTGCAGAAAAATGCGTTGATCACGGTGTCCAGCACAAAGGCTGCCTTTAATTATACCTATACCAGCGCCTGCGCACCACCGGCTGTGGTTACTTTCAGTAATCAAACCGTTGCAACCGGCACACCCAACTATCAATGGTCATTTGGAGATGGGAGCACTTCTACCGATGCTTCACCTGTACACCAATATGTTCAATCAGGAACATATAACTGTACACTAATCGCCAATGTACCCGGTGGTTGTTCAGATACCATTACCAAAAGCATTTCCATCGGCATGATACAACCCGGCTTTGCCATACCCGCTGTAGCCTGCCTGAATACACCCTTATCATTTACCAATACCTCTTCCCCTCTACCATTATCCGTTAACTGGGATTTTGGCGACGGGCAAACCAGTACCGCCATCAGTCCTGCACATACGTATACTACAGCAGGCTCTTATACAGTAACCATGACCGCGAATTTTGGAAGCTGTACACAAACCATCACTCATTCCATCACCACGCTAAAAAAGCCCACAGCGGCTTTTTCTATCACCGGTAGCGGCACTTATTGCCAAAAACCGGCAGCCGTAACATTCACTAACAGTTCCGTGAATGCCAGCACTTATCAATGGTTATTTGGCGATGGCACTACCTCTGCCAGCGCAAATCCCACACATACTTTTACTGATACCGGCAGTTATACCGTTACCCTGGTTGCTTTCAACGCCAACGGCTGTAGTGATACGCTGGTACAGCAGCACCTGGTTTATATACTGCCCCCACATATCGTATCGCTTACTACAACGCCTTCCAGGGCCTGCGCACCCGCTTTGATACAAATGCAGCCATTGGTAATTTCTGCGGAACCCATCAGCAGCTGGCAATGGGATTTTGGCGATGGAGCCAGCTCCACTACCATGAGCCCCTCACATGTGTATACTACTGCCGGCAGCTTTACCGTATCGCTCACAGTTACTACCCAAAGCGGTTGTACCACTACCCTCTCTACCCTTGCGGCAGATACCATAGATAATGCACCCATCGCTGCTTTTAGTGCCAGCAATACCAATGCCTGTGCGTATGATATCATCGCATTTACCGATCAGTCCACCGGCTATATTACTTCCTGGCAGTGGGATTTTGGCGATGGTGGCACCAATACCCTGCAAAACCCCAAGCATAAGTATACTGATAGCGGTTATTTCACGGTTACCCTCATTATCTCCAATAATGGCTGTTCAGATACCTTACATAAAACCAGTTATATACACATCAAACCACCTGTTGCCAATTTTACCACCCACTATAATTGTCAAACAAGGAATAGCCGCTCTTTTACTGATAACTCTGTAGCAGCTACAGAATGGCATTGGGACTTTGGCGACGGGCAAACCAGCACTACACAAAACCCGGCACATACCTATGCGGCATTAGGACAGTATACTGTGAAGGATTCTGTAGTAAATGGCGGCTGCTGGGATGTAAAAACAGATGTGATCAATATCACCCGGATACTACCAGCGTATACCTTAACCACTACTGGCCCAAGCTTTTGCCATGACCAATCGATACAGTTCACGGCCTCTCAATACGATGCCTCCGTTACAAGCGCTTTGTACTGGGATTTTGGTGATAATACCCATAGCGTATTTGGCAAAGAAGCCGTTGTATCTTACCATACCTATACACAAACCGGTACTTATTATCCCTACCTGGTGGCAGATGATGTATTGGGTTGTACCGATACTGTTTTTTTGACACCGGTAAATGTATATGGCCCCAGAGCCTCTTTTAGTAATATCGCTTTGGCTTGTAAACAATCCGGCAATATTGGCTTTCACGATGGTTCTACTATCGATGGCGCCCATGCTATCGCACAATGGTCATGGGATTATGGAGATGGCAGCACCAGCACCCTTTCTACCCCTGGTGCCAGCCACCTATACACCCATGCAGGTGAGTATCCTGTACAACTGGTTGTAACAGATAGTTATGGCTGCACCGATACTTTATTAAAACCCAACGCGGTTGCGATCAGTAACCCTGTGGCTGCTTTTACCTTATTGGATTCTGTGAACTGTACCGGTAAAACGATTCAGTTTACCAACCAGTCATCCGGCAGTACACCACTTGTCTATACCTGGTATTTTGGCGATGGCAGTACGGCTGTTGATTCCATCCCTACACACCATTATACCAGCCAGGGGCAGTATACCATTAGCCTGAGCGTACATGATGGCTATGGTTGCAGCGATAGCGTTTATAAAACCAATGCCTTAACCGTATCTAATCCAACAGCGTCCTTTACGCTTACGGATACATCGAGCCTTTGTCCGCCATTGATCATTCATCCCGCAAACAACTCGCAAAATGCGATCAGCTATACCTGGAATTTTAATGATGGCAATACCTCTGCATTGGATAACCCCGTACACTATTATACCACAGCAGGTCATTACGATCTTACACTGGTTGCAAAAGGTTCCGGTAACTGTGCAGATACCGCCCACCAAACACTGGTAGTAAACGGACCTTCCGGTACTTTGCACTATACTACTGTTGCAGGCTGCTCCCCTTTACAGGTACAGTTCTCTGCTACCACGGCCAATACTGCCAATACCCTGTTGGACTTTAATGATGGTACGATCATCAACCTGCTGGCTGCAGGTATTAACCATACCTATACTGCCTCCGGCGATTACCTGCCCCGTATCTTATTAACCGATAATGCCAGCTGCGTGGTAAGTATTGAAGGTACCGATACCATTCATGTAGCACAGGTAAAAGCAGCCCTGGCCAGTGTGATACAAACCGGTTGCGATTCTTCCAAAGTAGCTTTTACCGATTCTTCTTTTGTTTTCAACACACAGGTAAACAGTTATACATGGGATTTTGGCGATGGCAGTACTGATAGCACAGCTTCCCCCATACATTATTATAAAGCGCCGGGTACTTATACCGTACAATTAACAGCAGGCACTACTGCCGGTTGCACAGGCACTACACAGCAACCCGTTACCATACAGGTAGCGCCCGTGCCAATGGTGGCCATACAGCTCATCGACTCTGCCTGTGTATCTGCCAGCTTATCCCTCAATGCCACTAACCCGCTTAACATCCCTATCCGTGCATGGCGTTGGGATATGGGTGATGGTACGATACTAAACAACCAGAGTGTTACCCATACCTATGCGGTAACCGGCCCTTACCAGGTATCTGTATCTGCCACTGCTCAAAACGGGTGTGTGGCTATGAATACCCATAGCATTACAGTAGCGAACAACCCTATGGTATTGGCAGGGAGCGATACCACCATCTGCCTGGGCAACACGGTACTATTACAACCCGCAGGAGCTGCCGGTTATACCTGGAGTATGGCCAGCTCGTTGAGCTGTACCAGCTGCGCTACCCCATTGGCGGCCCCAACAACAGCTACCCGTTATTTTGTAACCGGTATCAATGCAAAGGGTTGTACCGCTACAGATTCCATACTGGTAAAAGTGATTGCCCCTGTTACCGTAACAGTCAACAGCGACAGCAGCATCTGTAATGGTCAATCCATCCAGTTACGCGCTTCCGGTGCACAGCTATACCAATGGCAGCCTTCCGGTTCCTTAAACAATCCGGCTATCGCTAACCCTGTTGCCTCTCCTGTTAACACTACCACTTACCAGGTTACAGGTACGGATACCCTGCATTGTTTTACAGATACCAAACAGGTTACCGTGAAAGTATATCCCATTCCATCCCTGTATCTTCCAGCCACTACGGTTAGTACAGGTGTAGGGATTACCGATACCCTTATTGCCAATGGTTCTGCGGATGTTACCCATTGGCAGTGGACACCTGCTACCTGGTTAAGCTGTGATACCTGTGCGATTACCGTGGTTACACCACAGGATAATATATCCTACACCGTTACCGCTACCAACCAGGGTGGATGCAGTGTTAGCGGTACGGTACGTGTTATCGTAACCTGTAACGGCGCTAACATGTTTGTGCCGAATACCTTCTCCCCCAATAATGATGGAATGAATGATGTATTCTACCCCAGAGGCAGGGGATCGTTTATGATTAAATCGTTACGGATCTATAATCGCTGGGGACAGGAAGTATTTGCCATATCCAATTTCACTGCCAATGATCCCGGCAGCGGATGGAATGGTACCTATAAAGGACAACCCGCACCAGCCGACGCCTACGTGTATGTAA